GTTTTGCGCTCCTTTTTCTTCCTCCCAGCTCTAACAAGCATCCTTGCCCTCTTACAAGTTAAGGTCATTCAGAGGATCTATACAAGCAAGCAGAACACAAGCTGGACTGGAGATCTTGAAAGGCTCATGCTTACCCTCACCTTTAATAGGGAGGCACCACCCACAGAGACAACACGTTATCCCGGCATGCACCGCTCCCTCCTGATCCAAATGGTAAGTAGCACAAATCAAAAGGACCACAGCAAGTTGGAACCTGTTGTCTCCGCGGGTGGTACCCTGCATCTGTATTAGAGATGAAGGCAGCTGTAATCTCTTCGGTTTTATGCAAATGGGATGCTGCGCTTCAGCTCCTGGCTAGCTGCCAGGAAAGAAAAAAAAAACCACAACCAAAACCAAAAACCACCACCCTTGTCAATATGAAGTTTGTGTAGATCAGGAAACCCAATGATTGGAATTTGCATAAAAAGCTAAACATCAAAACACAGTTGGCATGTTTCTTCTCAGGCTGTGGGAAGGCCACAAATACAAATATTATCTCTTAACCTAGCCATAATTTAAGCTTTGCTTTCTATTGTGGCTCTGAATTACAACCTTGCAATTTTAATACAAATAAGACTATTCAAGGTTTTCAGGAATTCTATCGCATCATGGTTCTCATTTTCCACACACTTTTTAAACTGTTAACAAAAAGGATGAGCACTTGAACTACAGGAACAGTTAACGGGAGATTCAGCCTTGGCCTTATAGTAACTTGGAGATAGAAGTCAGTCTGGTGAAAACACACATCACTTCCTAGCTCCCTGGACAACCCTGCAAACCCCTGCGCCAGCACAATCCAGGGCTGGAGCACGCCACAGCACCGCAGTAGCTGAAGCTGGCATTGCCACTGATGGAGTCCAAGTCCAGCTATGCTTGCTGATGCTGCCTTCCCCAGGTACCCATTCTCCACATAGGCAGAAGTTCCCATCATGCCTGGAAACTGCAGGAAGGATCAGGTGCCTCCGCCTCAGCCCTGCCAACGGTCCGGCATTGGAGTACGAATCTGCAATTGTCAGCTGAGGCACCGCACTTGGTGCGGACGCACAGGGACACGTTCCTTGCTGCTGACACTGCTGTGGGGCAGTAGCTGCCAGCAAGGGGTGGAGAAGGGTGCAGGACTTGTCTCCTCTCCCACAACTGCACCAGCCACATGCTCCCTGCCAGCATGCTCACACGTTACACACACATGCGTCACTGCAGTGTGGAATCTCTTCAGAAAGCAAGAACAGTCCAGAAAAAGGCCCTACTCTAACCCTGCTGAATAGATTCAAGAAGTTACACATTGGTTTTGATTTTGAAGTAGATAGAAAAAGTTAAAAATGGAGTACAACTTGCAAAAATGTCCCGGAAGGATTTCTGGTGCCACTCAAGTTGTGCAACATGCTCAACTGGAGAGACTTATTTCCATGCAAGCAGCTTGGCATGAAATCCCACTGAAAGGCCTGCGGTTCCCTAACACTGTCATGACGTCATGATTTAGGATTTTTAGAGCAATCAGCCCAGCACAGCTGGTGTCATGGTTGCCATTATACCATGAAACACTGAATGGTTTTAAATGAAAAAGGTTTCCCCGTTTGAAATTCTTAGATTTCTTCCATCTTATTCTGTGGACTCTTTAAACCAGACCAGTTCTGTAAGCAGAGTATATAGCTGATATTTAAGCAGAGCAGGAAATAGTGCTGCTTTAACTGAAAATAAATCTGTCAACAAGCAGACACAGGGAGAGTTCCACTTCAGACTTTTCAGGTTCTTATTAAAAAATATAAATTAAAGTCAACATTTTCACTTTGCTTGCTACATCTGTTTGCTATTCCATTATAAATAAAAATATAGGGGCCTCCAATTCAGTGTTAGTTCACTCAAAAATTCAAAAAGTCCTTTTCATTTAATACTGCATTATAATTGATCTAGATTGTACTGTATTAACTAACGAGGTCCACAAGAAATAAGCTATACATTACCCAAAGTCAAGCTGGGAGATTAAAAAGACCTTTGGCAGTGTACTATCCTTCCCTTTCTAAAGGATGAAAGGCAGAAATATTATGGAAGCACATCCCTATTGTAGGAACCTTGCTGACTGTCACAAGCAGATCCAGCTCTGCACTCTTTGCAGAGAGAGCCGGGAAACCAAAAAAACCCACAAACTAACTCCTATCTTCAGAGGCTAGGGCAGTCAAGCCGAGTTCAGTGCCACACCAGCTTTAAAGGAAATCTTCCAAAGATTTAAACAACGCCCCTGTCACCCCACACTCTGGCCAACCATCCCGCAGAATGCTTTACCTGGGACAGCAGAATCCCAAAGTCTTTCAAGCAACAAAGAGACTGATACCCATTTTCTTAAAGAAAGGCTTTATTAAATTCTCTGCTGGAGAATAAGAGCCTCCCGAGCATGTAGGAAAACCACCACATTCCTGAAGTGTGCACCCAGTGCTGGTCTGGTGATGTGCAGTTCACAGGGCAGTCGCATTTCAGGAGTAGTCAGCAAACAGCAACTGCTGTTGAGAGCAAGAATTGCTGGTGAGTGCTCAGCTCCTTTGACAATCTTCTCTCTGCCTGTCTACAGTGCTCTCCTACCAGGTGATAACTTCAGGTTCAGTGTTTAAGAGACATGTAGGTTTTGACAGCTTTACCACATGCATAATTGTATATAAAGACTTTTTGCCATAAAGGCAGAGCCAGGTTTCTCGACAGCACATTAAGTTCTGTAGCTCCAAGAATGAGGCCAAAATAAAGGTGACAATGCTGCAGACAGCTGAACATCTCAAAGCAAGTGACACAGGGACATCCCACTGTGGAGCTGGGAACACCTATTCCAGCCACACAGAGAGAAGGGAAACACATGCATGTACTCAGGGCATGGAGATCACTTCGATGGATCTGAGCAGGCCTGTGTTCAAGAGGCTGCAGCCAACATCCCCGAAGCAGCACAGCAGCAAGGGCTCGCTATTTGCTTGCAGTGCCCAGCTGCAGCAGCCTCTGGCAGCGCAGTGCCAGGGGCAGCCAAGGCACACCAGCTCTCTAAGCTTCCTCCCAGACTCATGTACATACAGGGCATTCAGGTGCTTCAGACCTCCCAGAGCATGGCACAGAATTTGCTCCTGCTTCACTCAACAGGCCTTGGAAATCGCCTGCAGCCTATGTCGAGAGATGGGGGTTTAACTCCTGTGCCCTGCAACCACCAAAAGGCATATTCCATTACCTCAATCCAAATTTCCAGACCAAACTGTATGACAGTATGAAGATTTAGGAGGTCTTCTGCCAGGAAGTTATTTAAAGTTGTGACATTCCACCTGCGTGATACTTTCACTCCCCCACCACCAAGATTTCCACTACAGAAGAACAACAGTTTTTGGTCTAGCAGACAGGTTTTGAGACCAAGAAGCCAGAGCACGTGCCAGCACCAAGGAGGCTGTGTCCTCACATAATTCGCTTCTTCATTCATAAAAACACACCACCCTTCATGTCTTCAGCTGAGACCCTCACGTCCACTCCCTGCTCTCACCCAAAACCATCAGGAAAGAGTTTAAGCAAAGAGAATAGTCTCACCATGGGAAAACTTCAGGCTGACAAGTCACCAAATAGAGGAAGTCAGCACAGCACTTACTGCCTCCAAAATTAGTCCCATCAAAACAAGGTGGGCAAACACAGGTCGCCTAATCTTGGCAACCTCAGATTTTCACTGGCAAAGATTAAATATCATGATCTGAGAACAAAGGCACCACATGAAGGCCTGCATGTCCATGGTAAGGTCTCTTGTGGAAGCAAAGGAAGGAAGCCTTTAACTTCACTTCTCTTCGTTTCTTTCACTTGCCCTACCTTTCCTCTGCCCCAGCAACTAATGCCTGGGGTTTGTTGTTAGCATATGTGTTGGTTAAATGTCCCAGGCAGATCTCTGTGACACTAGGGTCCTGTATAAACTCCAGTCTTAAGAGACTTGTCTCCTGAAAAACAGTTCTGTAACCACAAACATGAGAAAAAAAACAGGAGAAACTGCCTTGAGGACGTGGGTAAGGTTAAAGAAGCTGCCTGACTGCTGCTGTTGCAAGAGAAGCACCTGGGTGAAAAAAAAAAGCTGGTGGCTGAATCTTAACCAAGACAAACACAGGAAGGAAAGCTTGGGTGAACAAACCAGGGCCTTTGCTGCACCATTCATCAAGGACATTTACCCTGAAACTATGAAACAGCACAGTTTCACTAAACAGCAACAGCAGAAACCTTTGGCCATTTCTGGCTGGTTAAAAGGCCATGTTCACAGCCCCAAGATCATGACACCCTGGCTACTGCTACTCACTTTAACTGGAGTTAAGGAGCAAGGTCAGTAAAAAAAAAAAGACAAGAATAAGGTTAGATCATGCTGCTTGCCTGGTCTTATACAAAATGCCTATTAAAGATCATCCATACCAACAAATTAAGAAAACAATTTAATTACTAGAGAAAAGACAGTCAAACAATTAGAATTTTATGCTTCTGTTACACAAATTGGCACTTTATACAGCAGCCACCGGGGTGGCAGTCCGCTGACAGTAACACTGCTGTGCCAGCAATAGGAAATATGCCCTTACAGCAGTTTTCCAGAGGAAGGCATTTAACATGCACAGGGAGGGGTCAGGATTTAAGTGTATGACCATAACAGACTACCAAGAATGAAAAACACAAGACATTCAGTTAAAAAAATATTTCCCAACCAGTTAAAAGAAATTAAAAAAAATTAAAAAAAAAAAAAAATCACTCAACAATGACAAGGAAATATATTGCATTCAAAGCCTGCAAAGGGGAACATAGTAATTTTTCTACATCCAAGAACAGACGTACATCACCCCTCGCAAGACCAGGGCTAAGATATTCTCAGCAGAAAACCAGCTGTTCAAATAATAAGAACAGCAGGACAGGGTTTTACCTATGCTCCACCAAAACGCAACACAAAACACAACATGCAGCAACAGAACTTAAATGACACTTACTCATGTACTCTGTTGTCTCCATACAAGTCACTTAACCCAAAGCTGACATAGTGCCAGTGCTCAGGAACATTCAGCGCTGGGTTTCCCAGGTTTCTGTACATGCTAACGTAGTCCAGAGGGTCAGGTCCTCCCAACCTGCATTAAAACCAGAAAGATTCTTGGGTAAGTTAGTTTATTCAAGACAAATGGAAAGTCTCCAAAGGTGCTACAAAGGGCTGTACAAAGACCTGCTTTAAAACACAGCTACTGATGAAAATGAAATTATCATGTTCAAGTTACCTCAAAAAAAAACAACCCACAAAAAAACCCAAACCTAAAAAATTGAGGAGAAAGGTTAAGTCCAGAAAGCTTCAAGCACAGGAAGGCAAAGTGCACGTGCACAACATACTACAATGTTCTTAACATTAAAGCATAAAAACCTCTGGAAAATCATATTAAAGCTTCCACAAAACACAAAGAAAATTGGAAAATTGTACTAGTAAAAGAGCAATAGCTGTATCTGCACTGCAAGCTCTTAATTCAGTCCAGAGGCACATACCTCAATTAAAAAAAAAAAAAACAAACAACTCCGATGCTATTCCTCAAAGCAGATTTTGAAATGGCTAAGTTTTGAGGAAACTAATCTATACTTCTGAACATAGACATGACAGTTAAAATAGTGGAAGAGAAAAACGTTGATTCAGAAAAATTAGTACCAGAACTTGTAAAATACACTAGCTGCATTAGTCAAGAATGCCTAAAAAGCATCACTGCACCCTCTGCTTCAACGTTAGAATGGGTTCCTTAAAAGAACACTACTTAAAAGTCAATGCAGCACAGCCAGACTACGTTAAACAGCAAGGAAACGAGGCTGGTGTGCCAGCAGAGAGCACAGCGTACTCTTCCTGCCGCTTGCCATCACGTCTGCCCACGCAGAGGCAGGTCAACTCCCCACCAAAGGAAGGAACATGCTAGACCATTTTGCTCACTGTTCACCCTGTCAATCATAAAACACAGAGGCAGAAGCAAGCAAGAAGAGACAAGACATCAAACCACCTACCACAAGCATTTACGGAATAGCGTGAGCAGCTTTTTAACTGTTTCGTGCCTCCAATTCATTTTTCTTCAAGTAAAATACTCTCAACTGCTCCAAACAACAAAATTCAAACTAAGATGACCCCCTTCACTCAACCACTTATTTCACACCAATTTCCCTCATCTACATCATCTGTTGAGACCCTGACTATCATCTGCAGCTTGCAGGGCATGCTTGCGCTTCCCTCACTAGCCCTGGGCGTTTGTGTATCCTCATTACACACACCACAACTGCTGCACAAAAAGCATTTGAGCACCTCAGTTTTGCTCCCTCATTAAAGCACCACTGCCTTATATCAAACACTGGCAGGCTTGGCAAGAATACTTTCTCAGCATCTAGCCTGCTCATCAGCCTCTTGTAGCACCCTCCACTACCACTGCTCCATGCCTCCTGGAAGCGTTTGTGCTTCACACGTGGAGACCTGTACCTAGCCTTACCAAGGAAGCTCTGGGATGATCAAACAGCAAAGCTTAATTGCAATTATCCCACTTAAGGCCAGCACCCTTCTCAGAGTCCCATCTAGCAGCACAGAGGAAATTCTGACAAGCGGTTCAATCCTCAGGCATGAGCATAACCAGGCTGCTGGTAGTAAAGTCAGTTACACCCACTGGCTTCAGAAAACAGGCACAGAAGAGGTTTAACCCTGAGCTTGCACAATTACCCCTAGATCACATTCAACAAGTACAGCAATTTCTTTAAGTTCATTTAGGAGAGACCCTTGAGAAGACAGGGTTTTTCAGAGCTGGGGTAGCTGGCATTGCAGAACAGAGGTGCTAAAAAGTCACTTTGCAATTCTGTACTGGCCTCACCACAGAGCTGCAGCACCTGGGCATCTCCACAGGAGATTCTCCAGAGGAGTAGTCACCATGGCTGGACAGATGGATCCAGCCCTCACTGGTAGCTCATTGGTCTGGCAAGAGGCCAGCCAGCACCTGGTCCAGCTGACAGGCAAAGCATCTGTAAGAAGGTGCTTGCCAGGCTGAGCTCTGAGGAGAGTTAATGCACATGGGGACTCCCCAGGTTTATCACCTGCAGGGAAGATGGTGCCAGGAAGGGCCATGAGAGCAGGTTTCCTGTTGTTTCCAGAAGGCACCTACATACTCTACACAGATTTCTAGTGACACTGATACACTATTTGAAATCCTCTGCCCACCTCCTGCTGCCCAACCTTATCAAGTCTGTACAAAGTAATATATTGGCTTGCTGTATTAAAAGGCCTGTGGCCTCCCTCCTACTGCTGCAGGAAAAAAAAAAGCAGAGCAGGGTTATCTAGCAGAAGTGACTCTCCCTAGGACAGCTTCCCTCCTCTTAAGTCACATAAGGTCACTATGGTGGCTCCAGGCCAGCTCCAGCTTCCCAGCAGGTCAGTCAAGGATGCAGCCCAGGATATCAGAGCAGGACAGAGGGGATGAGCACCCCACTCCCAGTAATGGCACCGAGGTCTATTGGCGAGGGCTAAGTCAGAATTATGCAGCCTTCTTGTATGACAAATGGCATCTTTATGCTGTAACAGGCAAACTGGTGAGGAAGCACAAGGAATGTATGTTAGACCCTGGGATAGAGCAGAGTTTGATTCTCAGTGGCAGCCTGGGAAAAACCATTCTCAAAGTCTAGCAATAGCTTGAAACATTCACAAAAAAAAAAATGAGTCCCCCTCTGACATACCCCATCTCCAGCTGTTCCCTCTCACCAGCACCAGGTCACACTGGAGACTGAGATCTCTGCCATAGATACCCATTCAGGTGGCTAAGTTCAGGGTATGGTACCAACACCCTGGCCAGCGCTCAGGCTCCCCACGGCAGTAACTCCCAGATCCATGATGGAAGCAGCCAGGTGGAAGCAATTCCAGACAGGATAGCCACTGACCCCCAAGGAGTGGCAGTGAACAGCAGCAGCCACACACAATTATCACCTGACTGGGAAGACTCCAGAGCAAGGGAGGTCAACACACTGACCAGCAAACCAGTGCAAGAGATTAGCATGTGGTCAGAGCAGATGTGTAGGATTTGCAACGAAGGGAAAACACCTCCACCTGCTAAGCAACAAGCATCTCCCACACACACAAAACCTGCTTCCAAACTGGGTTTAATAACACCTTAGATGTCAAATGAGTCGCACTGGAACTCTGCTGACACAGGCACTTTGACATTGACAACATGCAAGACAAACCCTTATACTACCCTTTTTCGGGACAGGGAACTGCTCTGTGAGCACACTCCTCCCCAGGGCTACTCAAACAGATTCGTCAGATCTGATGCAGACAGTGAGCAAGTCCTGCCTAGACTGCACTAGGTGAGCCAGATACCTCTCCCTCTCTCCTGCTGGCAATCCCATGCTTCTCTCCAAAGGCCAAACCTCTCTGGAGACCCACAGCACCATGCTACCCAGAAGGCAGCTGCAGCGATGTGGCACCAGCTGGCTCAGGGGAGCCGAGCTCTGTCCTGCCCAGAGCAGACCCAGCCAACGTTAGCTACCCACTGGTTTAAACACTGCATGACAATCCAGACAGACCATCTTTACTCCCCGAGAAATTTGGTAGGCTTGGAAGAGAGTCAGACAAAAAGCCTGCAGCAGTGACTAATTAAATTTTGAAAAATACACATCCAAGCCATATACCCATCTCAAAATTGCTGCAACTGCAGGAGCATCCAGCACCAGCTTTAACCCAGCTACCTGGAACACAGCTAGTAACATACCCATGGCAATAATGCTCACCAAAGGCTAGTCAGCACAGATATTTATCCAGTTTCGGTGGCAGGTTTTGCTGCTACGCTAACTAGTCTAGCACTGCTAATGCCTGCTCTAGTACATCCTCCCACCCACAGCTGCTGTTGCAAGGTTCGACCTTGTATCACAATCTACATATCAGTACATGCATTCACACAAAGAGCTGGAAGCGTTGGAGGGTTTTATTAGGAAGAGCCCAACTTCAAAGCCAGAGGTACAGTACAAATTTGTTACATTCTCTATTCATGGAGCTCATTCAGGAGCAAGAAGGGCAGCCTCAGGGGAAACACAGTATTTGCATCTGCACCAAGAGTCTTCTTTTGACTGATGTTAAGAGCGCTCTGAAGATTCTGTGGAAGGAGAAACCGGAGGTGGGCAGAGAGGAAACAGCTCCACAATGGGAAAAAAATGGAAAATTCCCAATCCATTCACTCTAAAAAGTCATTAGTAGATTGTTTATAGTCACTTCCCACAGCTGACAACAGGACTGCTTTTCACAGCTACCTTTTGACAATGCTTCAGAAGTAGTCCATGATCCCAAAGCGGCTGCAGACCACAGGTCAACAGACTGGTTTTTGAGTACATGGCCTAAATTCAAGACAGGTGTTGAAAAACCAACAGTCCAGCCCAAATTCTGCTTATTTCAAAACCTATCACAAAGGAAATTACAAATTTGGTTTTTCACCAGCATGAATCCTCTGCATCAAGACACTTCACTCAGAGATATTTTTAAAATAAAAGCAGATACTAGTTATCAACAGAGAAAAACTCCTTCTCACCGCATGGCCTTTATAAATACAGCCAGGAACTCTTCCAAGAAATTCTGATTGCAATCATGAACTCTCTCCCAAGATATGCAAATAGCATTTAAAAAAAGACTAGTTCCATGAAATAATCCACACGGCTAAACCCCTTCATTTAATAGGTATGTGGTTCTGCAGATTCTCCAATGTTACAAAGTAAGGATCTGCTCTGCCGTGCAAGCCGAAGAATACAACTTCAGCTCCCCGAACAAAAAAAATTGCTGTTAACCATACTGAAACTGATACGTATAATTAAAACCTGATTAGTGTTACAATATTTCTCCTCAAAGGCAGGGAACTTTGTTCAGCAATTTCCTCTTCTAATCTAAACCAACTAGTAGCTAGCAGCCCAGGCAGAGGACAGACTAGCAGAGAGCAAGCAGGGACAGAAGTCATTCTACTAGACTTAATCAAGCTCCAAGTTTCACCTAACAAAGAGAGAGAAAGTACCTGTAGTGTCCACGTAGGTTCCACCTTGCACAAGAATTTCCTGCACAGGACACCAGCAAGAAGCTCACCTCCGATTTCTATGAGCGAAGCTCTCAACTCTCGCTGCCGGCTGAGACAGTTGGAAGAACCGCTAAGTAGAAAATGCCAGGATAAACAGGCCTTCATGTTACTTCTCATTTGCAATGGGCCATCACTGCTAATGCAGTTTTTTTAGTGCTTGAGCTCCAGTTGCATTGAAGCCCTAATCAACCCCTTAAGCAAACAAGCAACAAGGTTCCTTCCCAAACAAGGGTCTCTGACATTCTTTGTTATAGACCTAAATCTCCCTCCAACCCACACAAATCTTACATCACTCCAGTCAGTAGTGTTATAAGCTGTTGATGGAAAAGAAGTGCTGACTCCCAAATCAAGGTGACTGGAAACTCAACAAGCTTGAATATCTAAGATCAGAAACAGATGTAAAAAACAGACTGATCAGACCATCACTGAAGTACTGGCCAGCACAGATGATTAAGAATTTAGTTGTATTTTGAGGTCCCAGATTTGCAACATCTTATCTGAGCCCACTGTGTCAGTTTAAGTACACAAAACCCCTAAGCAATAAGGGCTAACAAACATATTTCTCGCTAGAACCACATAAAAACAACACTTCTTTGGAAGACAACAGAAATAGCTTGGCTGTCGGAACAGAACACAGGGAGGATGTTATTTTGCTGTTGCTCAGGACTCAATCAGATAGAGACATACAGGTTAAAATGAACTGTAAATAAAGAAGTTGAGCATTTACTAAACTTTTTCCAAGCGCAGGAGTAGGGACTGGTCAATGTCAGATCCAGCAAACACTCGGGGGTGATCTGATCATGTTCCTTAGGCCCAGAAGAGGGGGCTGAGCAGCAAAGCAATAGTAAAAAGCAAAAGGAACTCCTCTTCGCACAGGGCTAGACACTAGACACTTATCTCCATAGCTAAACATCGAAGTACTTCCTTCATGCCACTCTCCCACATAAACAACTGCTGTTCCTGGTGTCAGACACTGTGTCAGCAGAGACTGTAAGCAGCAGATTCACAGTCTGCAATAACACATGGCTACGCAAGGGCAAGAGAAGCTGGCTCTGCCCCATGGGTTTTATGGGTACATGTGTGGTGCGCATGTGGCTTGGAGGCTGGAACGCAGGTTCACTCCAGTCGGTGCTAGCCATACTCAACCCCCAAGCTCCAGGCCAGAAGACAGAGTTCATACCCCCTGTCCAGGAAGGGAAACTCCAGCCCCCCACCCTCTGTGGGAACTCCTCCACTGAGTAACACACACTCCCTTTTCCCATGACCTGCCCCAGCCAAAGCCCTCATCAGCCACCCCTCGCTCAGAAGCTCCAAATCACCCCAGAAACTCCCATACACCCTCCTGTCTTCAGCGCATCCCTCTCTAGACCCTTCCTTCTATTTTCAGTACGTCCTCCCCTGGACAACCCCCCCCCGAATACACCTCACAAGTACCCAATTACATCCCCAATGCCTCCTCCCCCAGACCCACTGCACACTCCCAAACCCCTTCCATCTCACCC